TATTTTCGTTTTTTGTACCATCATTTCTGTCTAGTCATAAAATGACAGTATTGTTTATTCAAATAACAAAAATTATGGCTATATATGTTTTTCCGTGTTATTACACAATGTAAAGTTTCGCTCTTGTTGTCAATTTTCTGCATTATGATCATATCTCGTATACCGTACTGAAACGGCCATTGTACCGCAATACGTACCGTACCGTGGTAAGAGCTTACTATTTCACCCCAATTCATGAATCACTTTGAAATTGATGATACATACTGAGTCACAGAGAGAGTTGATGCATTTCACATACATATTATACCCTCCAAAGAAGGTAGGAGGTAATAAAATGAACTGATGCATGCAGACATACAAACAGGGTGATGTTACTATATGTTTCTGGTCAGATAAGAAAAAGGCAAGAAAAGATGTAAACAACAAAGAGAATATGTTAACGGAGTAAGGCAAGACTTGGTGTAAACAACAAACAGAACACGTTAGCAGAGTAAGGCAAGACTAGGTGTAACAACAAACAGAACACGTTAGCAGAGTAAGGCAAGACTAGGTGTTAACAACAAACAGAAGACGTTAGCAGAGTAAGGCAAGACTTGGTGTAAACAACAAACAGAACACGTTAGCAGAGTAAGTCAAGACTAGGTGTAACAACAAACAGAATATGTTAGCAGAGTAAGGCAAGACTTGGTGTAAACAACAAACAGAACACGTTAGCAGAGTAAGTCAAGACTAGGTGTAACAACAAACAGAATATGTTAGCAGAGTAAGGCAAAACTTGGTGTAAACAACAAACAGAAGATGTTAGCAGAGTAAGGCAAGACTAGGTGTAAACAACAAACAGAATATGTTAGCAGAGTAAGTCAAGACTTGGTGTAACAACAAACAGAACACGTTAGCAGAGTAAGGCAAGACTTGGTGTAAACAACAAACAGAATATGTTAGCAGAGTAAGTCAAGACTTGGTGTAACAACAAACAGAACACGTTAGCAGAGTAAGGCAAGACTAGGTGTAACAACAAACAGAACACGTTAGCAGAGTAAGGCAAGACTTGGTGTAAACAACAAACAGAACACGTTAGCAGAGTAAGGCAAGACTTGGTGTAAACAACAAACAGAATATGTTAGCAGAGTAAGGCAAGACTTGGTGTAAACAACAAACAGAATATGTTAGCAGAGTAAGGCAAGACTTGGTGTAAACAACAAACAGAATATGTTAGCAGAGTAAGGCAAGACTAGGTGTAAACAACAAACAGAACACATTAGCAGAGTAAGGCAAGACTTGGTGTAAACAACAAACAGAATATGTTAGCGGAGTAAGGCAAGACTTGGTGTAAACAACAAACAGAACACGTTAGCAAACAGAGTAAGGCAAGACTTGGTGTAAACAACAAACAGAATATGTTAGCAGAGTAAGGCAAGACTTGGTGTAAACAACAAACAGAATATGTTAGCAGAGTAAGGCAAGACTAAGTAACAACAAACAAATACAGAGTAAGGCAAGACTTGGTGTAAACAACAAACAGAATATGTTAGCAGAGTAAGGCAAGACTTGGTGTAAACAACAAACAGAAGTAAAGGCAAGACTTGGTGTAAACAACAAACAGAAGACATCAGAGTAAGGCAAGACTTGGTGTAAACAACAAACAGAACACGTTATCAGAGTAAGGCAAGACTTGGTGTAAACAACAAACAGAATATGTTAGCAGAGTAAGGCAAGACTTGGTGTAAACAACAAACAGAATATGTTAGCAGAGTAAGGCAAGACTTGGTGTAAACAACAAACAGAATATGTTAGCAGAGTAAGGCAAGACTTGGTGTAAACAACAAACAGAATATGTTAGCAGAGTAAGCAAGACTCGGTAAACAACAAACAGAATATGTTAGCAGAGTAAGGCAAACTTGGTGTAAACAACAAACAGAAGATGTTAGCAGAGTAAGTCAAGACTTGGTGTAAACAACAAACAGAATATGTTAGCAGAGTAAGCAGAGTAAGTCAAGACTCGGTGTAAACAACAAACAGAAGATGTTAGCAGAGTAAGGCAAAACTTGGTGTAAACAACAAACAGAAGACGTTAGCAGAGTAAGTCAAGACTTGGTGTAAACAACAAACAGAATATGTTAGCATGATAAAGTTGCAAACAAATATAATAAGTCAAGTAAAAACAATCACAAATTCTTTAAAAAATGGATCATGCTCTCTCAATTGGTCATTTGTTTATATGGTGCAGCATGGTCCAAAACAATCTCCCTCTGGTAACAACTTGAGGGAGACTTGTCCACTCCTCTAACCTTGAAGCTTGGACCAGTTTGGTGGAACAGTCCAATGGCCCATCCATGGACAATATACAGTTGTCTGGCAGTCATAGTGACCTCGCCCAATATCACTTCTGACCCACCCCAAAGTCTTTCATGTTTGCTTTCATTGATGTTCACACCAGGACACTCACGAGGCCACTTCAGACATGTCCAAGTTTGTCCAGAAAGCCTTCAAGTGACTATCAATGATTCCTCCAGGTTCCACACTCTTCACACCACTGGCATCGGTCAATTTGTGTCGGTTTGTTTATGGTGGTACATCACCTTGCATGATCAGCAATTTGAATTCTGGTCGCCTGGTGATGGTGAATAGTTACTTGATTGGACACTTCTCTAAGCTTGTGAGTAACTGTTTCTGAACTTTTGACATCACTATGTATGCATGTATTCACTAGGCTGTAGACAACACTTTCCCCTTACACATTCACTGAGCTGTAGACAACTCTTTCCCCTTACACGTTCACTAGCCAGTAGACAACACCTCCTTAACAACTTTCAGTACTTGAGAATGTGAACGAGTGAAAGGAGATTTGTTTTACAAATGTCTGCACTGACTTGACATCAGACATGAATGTAACCACCGGTGTGGACCAACACTTATCATATCTTGCATGACATATATTTTACAGGTGAGATTCACTAAAGTACTGTCGGAAATGCTAGAAAAATGCTTTTTGACTTATATTTAAAATTCAGAGGTATTACAGTTACTTAAATAACAAATATCACTTTAAGAAACATCTACCTAATGTAGACGGAGGGAAAAAATTTTGAGACATGCCCTAAAATGGTGTTTTTACTGATGAAAATACCAAAAACTTAGAAAAAAAAGGGGTAGTGAGATGTTATTTGATACAAACATTAACTGCCTGTGTTACGTCATCAGCATGCACGGTATCGACAGGTGAAATTGATAGCACACGCCCGGGCGAGGGGTCATCTCAATAGATGTTTTCTTCAAAATGTTGAATATGTGTACGTATAGTATACGTATTGGTTATGGAAGGGATCATTTGTGTATGTGTGTTTGTTGTGAAATAAACATACGAATTACTGTAAATTGGAAAGAATCCTATCACTTGTGTTATCTTATCGATTGATTGTAGAAATGTGCAACGTTTTAATAAATGTTTGGCATGTCAATTTGGTCAGTTTAATCTAGCTGTGAACATTGGCCAAAGATTTAATGAAGTCACTGGTGTAGCTTCTTTAGAATATATATATTCTTCTTCTCCTAAAGTTTGTAGACCACCCGTCTAAGTACTCCCTTGTCAAAGTTGTCAAGGATGGTTTTACGTCCCGGTTTTGCTTTTGAGACGGTCCCTGTCTCGTCTGATTTGTTTACAATATTGTAAACTTGGTAAGACATACCAACACCTCTACAAGTTCTGTATTAAACCATTTCTATACTAATGAAAGGTTTACCTCTGTCTTTTTCAAGCACAAACAACTTATAAACCTTTGCAACAATCGCCTGCAAATAGTTGGGCATAGTGGACGCTGTGATCAAGATGTGCATGCATGACGGGAAACATATTTATCAAGACTTAACATTTATATTAATATTTCTTCAATAAAGAAACGATAATTAAGTAAAGTAACACAAACATTCAACATTTATTTGTTTAAGAAAAACGTTAATTTATATTTTTACGCCACCTGTATTATTAGCATAAATGTAAAGACTATTTCAGATTTCTGTTGTTGAACTCTGAAAAAATCTTAAGTTGTTGTTTTGGTACCGAATTCTCTCCTGTAAACTGCCCTTTAAATGCATGGGAATGTTAAATCAATTGAAATAAAAATTAGGTAGACTATAGGTGAGTTGATATATTGACAACATAATACATTTATCACCTTTCTAAAGATATAAAGGCTAAAAAGCATTTTTCTAGCATTTCCGACAGTACTTTAGTATTCAGTAGCAAATAAAGAATTTCAGGAACTACAATTATGGAATTTCCAGGAATTGTACAGGAATTAATGTGATTTTCCAGGTGAAAAAGTTATGTGTATTGAAGAACAATTCATGTCCGTCAATATTTCCTGAAATTCCTAGCATATAAATAAAGTGGTAGATGGATGCTTTGCATCTGAATATATATAATTTTGATAGAAACAAATAATTCCTTTAAATTGAAAAAATAGCTGAAGTCACCTCAAGTGAGATGGGAGATTCTTATCTGAGGAAATCTAGACTTGCTTAATTTAGGGCTTTAGCAATGCAGAAAGGAATATAATATGGTTGTGGGACTGACAGAGAAAGGGTTTGAAGAAAACATACAGTAGTGTCTGGTTACTTCAACAATGTGAAGTCTCTCTAAATATATACATTTATGATGCAAAGCTAACAATTTCACCTTGTGACAAAATGTTGACAATTCCTCCGTTATGTAAACAGTACTGATTGTACACACTTAATAAATTACTGCCCATGAGAACGTAAACAGCTGAACGGAGATTTTTTATAGCGTACGTTGCATCACCGATAAGGCTTCGTCAAGCATGTATTGTTCAGCGCGTACTACGATGAACCCACAGCTTGCCCTTGTCTCTCCACTGAGTAGGAGCCCGTTAACTGAACCTATGAATTAAGATGTATACATTGTTTTGTGCTCTTCATTGTCACTATAGACTGTAGGTACCTTAACTTGGACATGACACCTATCTAATACATTCACTCACCTGGACAAGCGCCGCGTGCTGATACCTGGAGTATGACGCAACCTTCTTATCGAGCAGACTCGAAGCTGGAATGACGGCCGCTCTGTATCCACCGGGTTATATTGAAGAGGGCAACCGCTTCCAGGAATGGACTCGTCTGTATTGATGTTTTTTCTCCACAGCCGACGTTCTCGCATTAATCTTTGTAGGGGTAACAGCTTCTGTCGGCGAAACTTCCGCGAGGCCCCAGACGGGTGGGACAGGCTCAAGTTGACAAATTTTGCGCATTGGTTCAGCAAAATAAAAAAGACGAAGTAAATTAGTGGCCAAAACTGTGAGCTGACAGTGAGTTGGAGCGTCCAGGTGCGAGTGTATGTGTGAGATGGAATTTCATTTCTTTCACCGCAGTGTAATTTTTATCATTAATTTCACCTCTATGAGATGGGTAACAAGAGCTGCCCGAAAGTGAATACTTACATCATTAACTGTTTATTTGTTTGTATTTAAACTAGACAATGTCACTACCACGTGTTCTACATATTAAGCAGACTGAGAAGTAGGTCACATTTGAACTTATCCCTTCAGTAAAGCATTTCACCCTCGTTTAATTGTAAGCTTCACTGTTTTTTAACTCGCGTCTAGTTCTTGTCTGTATTTCAAACACAAGTCAAAAGCAAACCAACAATACCCTATAGGTTCAGAATGAACTAGCTTAAATGCCCTACGCCACATATTTTATATTTGGGATTTTTCTTTCAGTCAAGTATAGATTCCATTACATTTTGGGGTTTGGTCCCATCTGGGATTTGAACCCACACTCTCAGAGTCATTTGAATAATCGCCAGCACCCCAAACCAGCGGTCTAACCCGCTCAGCAGCTACGACGTCCTCAAAATGGAAGTCTGACAACTGGTAGTCTAGATCTTTGTGTATCCCTCTGACAAGTGGAATTGGCACGGTTTGAATACACATGTGATGCGTTGAGTTGTCCCTACCCGTGAAGATCCAGGTTAGAATTGATCTTCATGATCAGTAAGAGGCGACTAACGGGATCGGATGGTCAGGCTCGCTGACTTGGTTGACACATGTCATATCGTATCCCAATTGCGTAGATCGATGCCCATGCTGTTGATCACTGGACTGTCTGGTCCCCCGCAACTTAACACTACATGTATATCGTTCAGTTCATATTTATAAATCAGTAATTCTACTGCCTGTTGGATAACATGTTCATCAAAGAATGATTCTACCAAACATATTCTGCATGGTAACGGTGCCGTACGATGCCCCCAAAGATATGTGTTCACTCCCCACGTTTGGCATCCTGACGTTCAAACAAGTTTTTCAATTCAACATTCGGCAAATCTAGTACTGAAACCGGGATTTTTTTCAGTGATATATAAAATGCATCTATTATAGGCGACGCCACCTTCCTGGGACAATGTTAAGACATTACCCGTGAACACCCGGGTTACAATCGGTCTTCAGGAACCCATGCTTGTCGTAAGAGGCGATCTGGTGGTCAGGCTCGCTGACTTGGTTCATACATGTCATCGTATCTCAATTGTGAAGATAGATGCGTTCATCACTGGATTGTCTGGTCCAGACTCGACTCGCCATATAGCTGGAACATTGCTCAGTGTGGCACAGAAACAAAAATATAGTTATCTTAGAGGTATCTGTTATATAACTCTTTGGATATCTAGTACCAACACCTAGGAACAGGCCTTCAGCTGAACCTATCCTATATGCTTTAGCTACCCCTACTGTATCATGGCCTAGCCGAGGCTGCACACTGGTCCATGGTGTCTTCATGGCCCCTGCTTGTATCTTCCAGTAGCGACAAGAAAAAACCTCCACCATCCCCATGCTCCTGAGGCGGTGGGGTAGCATAGTCACACCGGGTTCTATTCTCATCTTGAGGGCAATATGTGAAGTCCATTTCTGGTGTGTCCGTCGTGATATTGCTAAAAGCGGCACAGAACCTTACTCGCTCCTCAGACTTTCCGTTAGAGCTCTTTGCTACCAGGGGCGGTGGGGTAGCCTGGTGGTTAAAGCGTTCGCTCGTCACGCCGAAAACCCGGGTTCGAATCCCCACATGGGCACAATGTGTGAAGCCCATTTCTTGTGTCCCCCGCCGTGATATTGCTGGAATATTGCTAAAAGCGGCGTAAAACCATACTCTTTGCTATCAGAATCAAATACAAGCATAACGTACCTATGGCCACCCGTATAATGCTGTGGCGATATGGTTTACATAAGAGCATGATGTGGTAATTGTCCGTACATTTCAGACAGTTCTCATTTCTCGCTTCGACATCAAGACATACCGTACCAGTTATCAACACACGTGAATATTTTGGGGAAATAACTACTGGTAGAAGATGTGTTTCATTGCAAATGCATAATGAAACCAAACTAAAGGCAGCTGTGATCATGACCAGTCTCCAAACATGTTGTATTCATCCACGATTATATGTTGACATCCCAGGGTAAACCACACCGATGTTTGCAGGTGAGTCAGCGTTATCTTTATCGTGTTCTGTACCCTTTTGTACGACCTAGTGCGTTTGGAGGAGGACATTTATTATTGTAAAGAGGCCATTCTCATTAATCATCACGACTACCCGATTTCAGTAACAGTAAACTACGGCCATAACGAACTCAAAGGGATAACCGATATTAGTTCGATATAACCGTAGCTTGTTGTCCGACAAGCAGTTCGTTATATCAGAAGTTCGTCCTAAACATGTTAGTTCTAAACCTAGCTGACTGTACTAATATTACACCTACTGTGACTGACCCTGCAAGTTCAATACGTCTCCATATTTTGTTATAAAAACATTTGTGATGCCCATTTGTGTAAGGAAATATCGGTACAAAATTTATATATTGTTAACATATGAACATTGGGCATCATTTTACAAACACTTTATATCGACACGTGTGATCGGTAAAGGACTGGGTGTAGTCAGTAATTATACAAAGTAAGGCAACAATACAAACTGACAGGCCACGTTCCAGTGTATCATACATGGGAGGGTCAAACTGATAAGAATTGCCGGATCAAGGTCAGGATTTCTTGTTATTGTGGTCAGAATTAAGACGTCAACAATTTTATCTGATTTTTATGGCTGTTATGAAACAACCCGTGAAGATCCGGGTTAGAACTGATTGTCAGTAACCCATGCTTGTCGTAAGAGGCGACTAACGGGATCGGGTGATCAGGCTCGCTGTCTTGATTGGCACATGTCATCGTATCCCAATTTGCGTAGATCGATACTCATTGCTGTTACGGAAGGCTCCAAGTAGCTGGGATATTATTGAGTGCTAAACTCGCTCACTGTCATGAAATAACACGTTAGACGTACACTTCCTCGTAGTATCTAAGTAACTGATAAGCTATTCTTCGTACCAAACTACACTCCTAAATACATCTCTCCTCACTGCTACGGTAAACTTCAAATATGTAATTCTGCCAAAGGAAATAGAAACCGAAGTTCACAACACCAACTTTAACGCCAATGTATTACAATCAGAAAGATCGATCAACTACTAGACGGCTATATACCGACGAAAGTCAATCACACATTATCACAAACAGTCTGCTAAACGTATATCTTAAACCCTAGTCTGAAGCTTAGCCTGAAGGTAGATCAACTGATGTACAAAAGAAAGTACACAACTGGTGCTGCATGCTGTTCAACACAATTATTGTTTCCATGATATTAAAGTCCCAATCAACACTCTATTCAAAACATCACCATTTTTTTAAATGAAAAAATGATCCCAGAGCACCATGTGGGATCTTCCTTTTATACATTTGCAGTTTATCTATCCTCCGGCTTTAGGGCTGCACCCTGACTCGTAGGATTGAAAACATTATCGGGAGAGTAAGATCTCTTACTACAATAAGTCCTAAATGTATTTTACAGTTACAACGTTTGGCAATACCTACAATTCCATGTTGTCACTTGTCTATACCTTTATATTTATTTTCGATATTCTCTTAGTAATAGGGGGTGGGGGTGGGGGTGGGGATGTGTAACCCAGTGGTTAAAGCGTTTGCTCGTCACGCCGAAGACCTGGGTTCCATTCTCCACAGGGGGACAATGTGTGAAGCCCATTTCTGGTGTCCCCCGCCGTGATATTGCAGGAATCGTTCTAAAAGCGGCGCAAAAGCCAACTCACTCACTCTCTTTGTAATACAATGAACAGGTTAATATGTCACTCCTGTTTATCTAACCTTTATCAGTGTGTCTCACGTGACACAACTAATAGTCTAAATTGTTCCTGAATGCTGCTCGGTTAATGTGTTTATGCATTGTATGTCCGATACAGGATATACATGGGAATATCCATTCATATTTCATTTGCATTTTATATATGAATCACCCGGCTCTGTATACTTCAATCTGTATCAATTATTGTGTATCCTTTCACATCTGGTTCAGCACACATATCTTAAGTCAATGATTGGCTGCAAAAGGTTGCTGAAATGATGACTGACAAGGCACTCTTGTTATTTATTCAGGTCTGGGGCGTGTGCAGCGGTACATACCGGCCCCGTGGCGGGATTATAACTACATGTATATCTTAGTATTTGTGTAATATGTGCAATTCTGACGACACCTTTCCTTTGCTTTATGCAGAGAATGTCTTAGTCATGCGTTTTCATGGAAAATCATAAAAACGGCGCAGAGGAGGAAGATATAAAACAAAGTTGTTTTAAGTTCATCCCTGTCTGAAAAGTGTATACATGTACATGAAACGCTCAGACTAAATTCAGTCGCCCCGTGTGCAGCAATATCCAACAATAGCAACATTGAATTGAGATTAAAACTTATGTCTAAAACAGAGAATGTCTATTTTCGGTGTTTAGTGTTTTGTGACCGTCAAGCTGATTTAGGATGAACTCTCTCGAAACGATGCAGTTAATGTTACTGTTACCGTGACATGTGAACCCGGATAATCCCTGTATGTACCAGGATGTTTACCTGTGGGTGGCACAGCTGCACGCTTCATCAAATACATGTCTTGCCAATTACAGGTAATTATCACTATCCCATCGACATATAGCTGGGTATTTGAATTTTTATGCGCTGGTGTCTCGGGTTAACAGAGATCATATGTCATAAAACATTTTTCCCACAGTAATCTATCGTGAG